GTGTGATGCCATCATGTCAATATGGACCAAAATCTCTGAGGAATGCTTCCAGCACCTTGTTGAATCTATGCCACGAAGAATTGAGGCAGTTCTGAAGACAAAAGGGGGTCCAACCCGTTACTGGCGTGGTGTACCTAATAAAGTGGCCGGTGAGTGTATATTAGCCAGTTCAAGTTGTTATCATGGTCAACAGTGGCCTCTAGTGGTGGCGCATCGCATCCGTTTTGGCACATTTGGCGCATATTTCTTTAAATCTGCTGTTTGTTTTGGCAGGGAAGCGGAATATTTAAGTTCATCTTTAAGCATGGAAGTTTACAGATATGGAAACACTGCGATAGTTTGTGCAATAAAGGAAATATTTTAGGAGCAAAATCTCAAAGACTCCCCAATGTCCTTCAAAACAACAAATAAAAACTCACTTTTGATCCGTGCTTTGGTTAATATTTTCTGCCCTTCGAATCTAAAATGCAACAAGGTTTTGTACAGCTTTTACATTTATTTAAATATTAAATAAAGCCATTTTCCAGTTGGAAGTCTGAGATCTTATTCAAGAGTATTTCCCACCCCTCAAAAATTAGGCTATTTTATCATCTTTTGGTTACTTTCTTTACTTTTTTCAACAGAACCCGTTGATTTTAACTCATTTTCTCTTCACAAACAACAAATATTAAGTCTCGATTTGTTAATTTTGCGCCCGTGTCGATAAAGATAATAATCAATAATGAAGTTGATCATAAATTTCAGACCGTGCTTCATAAAGAGAGCAGCTTGATGAAGTCAGGAGCTTCTGTGATGTGATGCGGGAACAGATGGTTGAAGCGCGCCTCATTAATCTGCCCGAGAAGAAGAAGAAGCTTTTCCCGGGCGCGCGCGCGCGGGTGACAGGATTAAAATCCCAAGTCTGGCTGTGCACGCGCGAGAGTGGACACGTGCGGCTTGTGCATATATAAGAGCAGCGGAATAATCGCGCTTTGTTTGGTCTCACCTGACGCTAAAGTCCTCCAGGAAAACCTCGAGTTATCAATCATAATCCCGCCGAGGGAAGGTGAAGGCGGGCCAAACTGTTCTGTGCGTGCATTGTTAGCAAAATATCTCCTGAACGGGTTTGAATGAAACTTTGACAAAGTAATGATTGATTCAAGATGACTGCCACAGACTTTAAAAAAAAACTGTGCTGAGACTGACAGATTTGCTTAAAATTTGACCTTAACTTTTTATAACAAGGACCGCCTGTTAGCAAAACATCTGATTAACCACGGATTTTATTGATGCTYTTGAGAAATAAGCATGGTTGTGTCTTCATTAATGATTAACCTTTGGAAATCAATTAATTCTGGATGGCCGCAGTATAAATGAATCGSTTGATCTCGCGATATTGCATGAGATTATGTAAGGAACTTTCCGGGTTTGACAAAAAAAAAAAAAAATAAAAAGATTAATTAAAAAAATCTTTAAAGAGGATGATTTTAGTTTTAAACTGTGGCGGGCAACATACATTTATTCAATTATGTGTTTTCTCTCCTTTTCTTTTTTCTTTCCAAGTAATTATAATTTGTTATAGGCTGAAGTGTTTCTAATCAATAATYCAAGTGATCTAAAGTTGTTTCAAAATTTGTTTTTCTTTGCTAATTCGGCTGATTTTTCTCCCATTTTCTGCACAATTATACTTTCACAACTCTTGTTTCTTGTTTCTTAAAGCCACTTGACTCGAACCTGTCAATCATTCAGGCAAGATAAAAATAAAAATTGTACAGGCTCACATTGATAATTAATTGATAGTAGCTTAATCTGAATGCGTCGTGTATTAACTTCAAAAAATTAATTTATTWAAAAATTTGTGATAAATGAACAGATTAATCTGCATTTAATCAATTTTTTTTGCATATTTTAAATGTCTTAAACTGACGCATTTTGAACGTTTTCAAAATTGATTTTGAGACATAAACATTCAAGTTCCGAGCTGCGTTGAACACAACACAAACCATTGGAGTAAATCATTAGAAATTAAAAGCCTTGTTTGTTTGTTTGATTGCGTTGTTTTTATTAAACCTGCCACGTTTAGTGAATATTYACYTCTTTTCTTCTAGTTATGTCTTRTTTACAARTAYTATTAGAAKTCGGAGYTACTGCGTCTCTCTTGGGAATCGTKATGTGCACCACAGTCCATTAATGTGAAAATAAGCTATATTTTATCACCATAAAATGTGATACAAAAAATACAAACCACATATTGGAAAGTTGGTTCTGTGCTAAATGGTGCTCTTATTTTGGCAGGCTCGTACCGGAAGCTGAGTGTTTCGTTTTGTTTCGGGCCACTTCACGGACCGTGTTTTTGTTTGTCCTGAGCGTGTGTGTGAGGTAGACCTTTTATCTCTTGTTTGCTTTAAAAATCACGAGATGTAGCGGCTGGAAACACGGAGAAAAATGAGTTGTTTTTTCGTGCCTTAAACTGATATCAGACAGTTTGTTTTTGAGGACAGAAAAAGCTTTTTTTTCCCCCCTCTCTCTCCCTGTCCTTTTGTCTGAGGCGTTCATGGGTTTCTGGTGTCATCATGGACATGTACGGGTACAGTGGGGTGTTGTTGGTGAAACGGGTCTTGGACGGGGCTCCTCTGGAAGTCACGAACATGTCAGACATCAGCAGGGCGAGTCCTCACGGCTGTGATAACGGAGCTCTGACGGACAGGTTCGGGGTTCTGATCCAGGGACTCCTGGCTATTGTCGCCTTCAGCACGCTGATGTGTGAGTATCTCCTGTCACCACCCTCGGTCTGCAGGAAAATGAGCTAATTGCACTTGAAAGGCGTCCACGTGGCGCTTGGTTGATGCTTGCTTTTCTTTGTAAGCTGCGTTAAAAACTAAAAAAAAAAAAAAATAATAAAAAAAACAAAGAAAAAAGGACTGTAAATTTAAGTTTCATTAAGGCTATACTCTCACAACAGCTATGTTTTTGATCATTATTAAACAAAATCAAAAGTTGCTTTAGTTCCTTATACATTTTATTATAGTTTTGACCATTTTGCGGTTTTTTTTTTGTGTGTTTGAATCAGATTCTCAGACCCCTGAAGACTTCAGATCACAACTTTTTTTGCTCAAAAATGCTGATCAAAATAAATCCATGCAGTTTAGGTCATTTAAAAAGCTTGACGTAAAGAAGACCCAAACCATGACTCTCCTTCCACCGTGTTTCACAAACAGGATACAGAATTTATGCTGTTTTATTCTTAAACGTGTCTTATTTTCTCCCTCCAGTTTGGTGTCAATAGTCGTAATGGCTGTTAWGGACTAATTATTTATATCTGTTCTACCTTGACACTGTCCAGTAATCACATCTTATGATTAACTAGTTTCGGCTGTTTTACTCTATCGGCCAAGACTTCAAGACTCCAGCAATGCATGACCTCTTTCCTGTCATTTTCAACTTTTTCTCGAAACACTATCTCCCGATGCAGCTTCTTCCTAGACTCGATTACACTCACCGGCCACTTTATTAGGTACACCACGCTAGTAACGGTTTTGTGGTCATAAAGGGATGGACATGGTCAGCAACAATACTCAGGTAGGCTGTGGCGTTGCAACGATGCTCAATTGGTACCAAGGGGCCCAAAGTGTGCCAGTAAAATATACCCCACACCAGGGGTAGAC